TGACCCTCCCCCCCTTTAGCAGCGCTTTTTTAGAAAGCGATGTCGTAGGTATGCAATTTTTTTCTTTTTTTTAAGACTCTTTTAGCAGCGCTTTTTCAGAAAGCGCTATCTTTTAATGCGCTGCTAAAAGTCATTTCTGTTGTAGTGCAAGTGTAGGAGGGGTTACCCCTTGCACACTTGAGAAGAGAAACCAAAGAGAATTATTCCCAGATTCTCCGAAGTAAGGTAACGAGTCCAACGTGTAGATTTGTGCCATAGTACTTGGATTTGAGAAGTATTCCCAGATTAGTTCATAATGATGGTCCGTCATGATTAAAAAGAATCGCATGTATAAATTTGATTGAGAGAATGACTTATGGCACCAAAAAATGATGAATAATGACGGTAAAGACAACTGGTCCTTCAAAGTTGGGTAACCCTCACCCGGTTACTTAGCCTAACGGCGGTTGAATTTCTATAGTCATCATAAAGTGGATGAATAAACTCTAATACGCGAGAAAAAGAATAAAGGTGCCTTGAAAAAGTCTCGATCAAATCCTATACATGTGAGGGAAAGCGATCAAAAGTGCCTTAATTTGATTATCCGAATGAAAGGGGTAAAAAATCGAAGAAATTACTTAAGCTTAAAGCATAGTTGGAAAGGTGATCGAAAGGGGGATTTAGGTTTGTGGTTTTACCGCGGTACGTGTTTGTGTAATACCTTTGTTAATGGAAGATTACCAAGAGAACTAGTTTTAGACGATCAGAACAAAGATTCACGTATGAGTATCGACACACCTTACTGTCACAAGTATTTTATTTGATATATACTGGTTGATCTAAAAAGTGTTTATCCAAGCTTGTTTCTTGAGGTCAAGCAACTGTTTAAGTTTGGGGAAGTTTGATCAATAATTTTTATACGTTATTTTACCATGAGTTTTAGTTAATTGTCTTATACATTTAGTTGTATTTTATTTCCTTTTATCACATTTTATGCGCTGGTTGGGTATTTCCATTGTTTTTAGGTTCAAGTAAGAAATCAAGAAGAACCAGGGCAAAAACTGGGAAAAACAACAGGAATTCAGAAGAGTTTTTAAAGGGAAACAGTGGCCTGACACGGCCCATGTCAGGAGGGTACCAAGAGAAAGAAAATAAGGTTTTAGACAGTGGGCTGACACGGGTGCCCGTGTCACCTGACACAACCCATGTCACCTGACACGAGTGCCCGTAGAGCAGGCAATTTTTATATTAGATATCCAGGGGGCCAACACAGCCGCCCGTGTCATCTGACACGGCCTGTGTTGGCTGAAGCGCTTCATCTTCTAATTTTCTTATTTTTTGGACCTTTGTGGTCCCTAAGGGTATTTTGGGTATTTTCTCATTACTTTGTTGGACCTAAGAGTATTTAAGATAGATTTTAGGAAGGAAAAGAGGATTTTTTTTTTGCCAGAGAAGAATTACACGATCAAGATTGGAGAGATCAAGGTGATTGAGAAACTGAAGGTTTTCATGAGCGGAAGCAATTGAAGATCAAAGAACCCTATTATCTTGTAATGTCTAATTTTTACTTTGTATTTTCTTCCATTATTATGAGTAGCTAAACCCTCTAATGCTAGGGGGTGTCCCTGATTTGAATATGTAATGACTCTGATATTAGTATTGCAATGACATTCCTTTGTTTTCATAATTGATTTGATCTCTAGCTATTCTTAATGCTTGCCCTGTCGGACCAACAGGGTTTGATTTACGATTAACAATTAGTTTGGACCGCCTTTGTTAAGGCTTTGCTTTTGATCATTCTGTAGTAGATATCACCTAGGAATAGGGATACCCTATAGGAACCAGAATATTCTTGATAATTGATTGCTTAACCTCATTTACAATTCTCTATGGATATAGGAATTAGGGTAAATTATTAAAGATTTTCTCACTAATGACTTAGGAGTAAACATTCTAAAGAATCGGTAATTAGTTAGTTACAATAATTCGTTGCAGTTTTAATTCAGAGTTGTTACTGAGCCGGATCATACACTTCCCCTAGCATGTTACTCATATCTGTTTAAACCACTTAGTCAATTTCCTTCTTTTACTTGCAAATATTTTTATAATTAAACCAAACAATTTTAAAACCCCAAGTGCTTTTGTTCAACTAAATTATTATAGAGCTTTATTTCATACGTAGTCCTCGAGATCGATATTCGGGGAAATTACCTCTTATTACTACATTGGCAAAATAGTACACTTGCTATTTTACTGATCAGACCCTGTTTTCGTGCCTAGATTTTGGCTCCCCAAAAATAGGTAACTGCCAAAAACTAGTCGTTGTGACGGGCGGACATGCTTGGAACTAGTCGTTGCTCCGAGCAGGGGCGTGGTCGTGGGCAAGTGTGTCGTGGCCATTCCTGGATGGTGGAACCGTGCATGACGGGCTGAGATGTGACGAAGGGCAGCTGATCCTGAAGGTCAGCTGGCCAGCCTTCCTCGGCTAAGGAGCAAAAGAAAAAGTGTTTTCCTTTGCCCTCAACTGACAGGGTTTAAACTATTGGGCCTTTCTGGGTGCAGAAGTGGATTGGGCCATGCCTAGCCATTGGGCCAGTCCGGAACAATATTAGTTCAAAGCTAAACTCTCTCGTTTACAACTTATCACCTAATCACTACCCGTGCCAACTTCTACCTAGGAACTCCTAAATATGAGAAACCATTCGCACTCCCTACCAGTCACAAATCAGTTACAATTTAACAACACCAAAATAGACTGACACACTTCCAAGAAAATACTTAGTTTTACTTAAAAGTTTCAACTAAGAATAATACACTTTTGCTTAAAAGCTTTAGAGTGAACAATTAACAATGAACAATCAGTCAACTCAATGCATCAAAACTGATACAAGAGTGACATACAAACAAAACACACTAAACCCTAAAACACCACCAAGACACGACTAATCGTAATTCTCCATAATTTTCCAATGTCCAAGGTGCAATAGGTTTAGCTCATTTCTTTAAATAGCCTTCAGACTTTGTGGGCTTATGCTTCTTGAAGCGCAAATAATCAGGAATTATATTTCAATTATTAGCATATTTTCCTTCACAATAATAGGAACAAAATACAAAGTTTCATAAAAGTCCGCAAGATCCTTTTTATGAAACCAAATCAAATATGCAATGTTCCTAAAATACTCTTGCTTAGCTGCGCCTGTATAAGAATTAAAATCATCCAAAATCTTATATTTAAAATTAAATCTTCAAGGATTTAAAATACAAAATTGTTTTGATGTTCTGGTATAACATGTCATAACATCTGTGAGAACATCTGTCAAGAAAAGTAATAGCAGACTCTTCTGTACCAGTTGGTCAAGATGTCATGACATCTTCCTCAACATCTGGTTGTGATACATGTTTTACCAATATTAATGTCAATCATAAAATCACAGACCTAACACTAATAACAACTTAATAAACTAACTTTAATAGTCATCAACATTATTAAGCAATACAAATCAACAACATAGACAGGAGCAAAACGGTGCATTGGTAAAACTTCTAGAAAAAAGCACAATATTGAATCAGAGAAGATCAAAGTTAATCAAAATCTCATTAAATCTAGTGATAATATCAACAATTACGTGTTTAGCTATAAAAGCACATATTATCTGAAGCATCATAATAGTCAGATATCACCGAAGCAGATCCATCACGATGTAGAGGAGCATAGAAAGAACAAGCATAAAGGAAAGTTCAAAAGTAATGCTAGTAATGGTAACAAAGCTTTGAAGGAGAAAAAGTTTAAAGGTAATCTTACTGATGAAAATCAAGTTCACAGCAGTGGTGGCAATGTCAACTATGAGGCAATGTAATGGGGAAGGAAGGGAACTAAAATAAAATTCTACACAGATGTAAATCTTGCTATAGATGGAGAATGGAATATGGGAGTTGTGTTTCAAAAGAGCAAGGTAGGATGGAAGCCCAACACTCTTGGAATTAAAAGGGATGCGATAATCCTTCTATAGCAGAAGCCACATTTATTCTAAAAGATCTTCTTTTTATCAAACATATGGAGGCTTTTGCGGTTGGTGTCTACTCTGATTGTAAGGATGTTGTAATTTTTACGAGTTTTGTAAGTTTATATTTCTTGTTTATTTTAAATTTTTGTTAGTTTGAAATTTTTTTCTTTTTTAAAATCGGACAAAAATATCCCTAGTGCTCTTTTAATATAATTTCTCGCTTAAAAAAAATGGAAGGCTAAATTTTTATTTCAATTAAAATCAAAATATGAATTTAACCCTTTTAAATAAAACATGTTAAAGCAATACTATGATTAACATAGTTGTTCACTTGTATGTGGGCCTTCTCCTATGACCTCATTAACAAAATATTGGCCTCACATCTCTTTTACTTTCTTAACCACTTCTTTTTTTTAGTGCTTAATTTGTATTTTATTTTCTTTGAAATTTAGTCATATAACATGAACCAAATTAACACCATAACTATGTCCACATCATCGAGTCTTTGTCAATTCAATATTGTTGACCATCATCCAAAATCCAAATTATAAAACACAAAAAGAAGAAACATTATGGCATTTTTATCTTGGTCGATACTTAGCGTATTAACATTAAATTACATGACTACCAAAACTACATATTCCATCAACATGAAGATTCCAAAATAGAAAATGCTCATCACTCCACTAAAAAAACATGTAATTTACAAAAGCTACCAAAAGACAAAAGTGACCCAAAAAAAAAAAATAGACACCCCCTAAATCTCTGTTCTTTTTCCAACAACGTGGGGTTCCCCGAAACCACCACATGCTCATGTTCTAAATCATTTTCTCTTCTAATAAAAAAGAAGAAAAAATTTCAAAAAAAAAAAAATGTAGCTTAAAATAAAACTATATAACTTCTAGCTAGCATTACTTTCCATAGTTGATATTTCATTTCTTGCTTATAGCTAAAATTAACGTACTCATTAATATGCATGTGATGATAATGTGCTCATAGTGTCTATTTTTGTTGCTTCTATTGTGAAATTATTGTCTCTAAAGTTCGATATAGATCCAAAAGTGTTGCTACGAGTGACATTGATTCTGATCTTAGCCGTTCATTCTCCGCGGATAAAATGAGATTATATTGCATGGTTAAACCGAGCCGGGTTTTTAGTTCCCGGTTTTCGATTCTCAACCGGTTCACGTCATTATTGAGATTCTCTACGTGCCGCTTCTTTCTCCAACGGGACCGCCTAGCTGACTCCCGGTTCGATTGCATTCTCCTTATTTTTCTCTCGCGGGTTGAGTAAACCGTCCGGTTTGATCCCTGTGAACCGGACCCTGGACTGGATGGGTCAACCGGTTGGTTAATTAAGGAAAATAGTTCCTCTATCTCGCTTTGTGTGAACATGGTTTCGTGAACCGGATTACATGTGAACCGGACCGGAAATTTCTCTTCTTGGAATGACATTGCTACAAGGAGAGAAAGAAATTGCCTATTTTTTTCAAAGTAATGAATTGAAAGGGAAGGAAGGGAAAAGGGAGGAATTGAAGTGAAGGAGATGGGTATTTAAAGAATGAAAAATAGGGGTAAAGTGGTAATTATAATACAACAAAAGATAATGGAAAAGCTTTATGGTCCTTTTTACAAAGATAAAAAATAAAAAAGTAAAAGTGGGTTTCATATGTACGTATGGTGGATGTTTTTCTTTTAAGGAAAAACAAAAGCTGTACATTACCAACTTTTCAAGTTCATGCAAAATTAAAGATAAAACTCTTTAGTATTTTAAAGATTATTCAAGGCTTCAAAATTTTTATCAGATTTTGTTAGGGTTGATATATTTGATAAATTTTAGGAAACTCAAGTATCTTTGAAAAAAGATGCACATCTGAGTTTTTTTAATTACCTTATAGGATGAAATATCGATATTTGGTGTATGGGTGGATATTGAATATTTTACAGTAATACAAATAATATTTAAAATCGGTTCAAATAAAGTGATATAAAATATTATAAATAATATATTTTAAAAATCAATTTTTTTTTATATTTTTTATTTTATAGTATTCGAGAGATAGCGAATCTTTTAAGGTTCATGCATAATAATATTGCATTATTGATAAATATAATTTTTAAAATATTAATTTTATAATCTAAAATAAAGTGGTTTATGTTCACCTTTTATTTTTATATAATTTTTAATATATATATATATATATATATATATATATATATATATATATATATATATATATATATATATATATATATATATATATATATATATATATATATATATATATATATATATATATATATATATATATATATATATATATATATATATATATATATATATATATATATATATATATATATATATATATAAAATGAAGATCAACTTAGTTAAAGAGTAAGTTTTTATAATTTATTTCATAATCACAGCTTTTAAATTATATTTAATCAAATAATTATAAATAAAAATATTAATTTAACCACTAAATTATATTCCATTTAAAGACTATTAGTGTCCAGACGGGCACTCGCATGCCCGTCTGTCCCTTTTTTTATTGCATACATATAAATATAAATGATATATTTTTATTTAATATTAATTTTACATGGAAGTTACTAGTAGGAAGTTATATTAAAGATGATAGTAGTAGTTCGATGGAAATTATTGGATAAGTTATATATTTTAAAATAAAGATAAATTCGGTATTAAAATAAAGTTACATCAAAAACCAAATATTACCTTTATATATGTTATAGATTATAGATTATAGATAACGTGGAATAAATTAAAAAAACTTATTCTTAAAATAAGTTGATTCTCACTTCACATATATATATATATATATATATATATATATATATATATATATATATATATATATATATATATATATATATATATATATATATATATATATATATATATATATATATATATATATATATATATATATATATATATATATAAAATAAAAATACGTAATATTAAATTATAAGATAATAAATATATAGTCATTTAAACTTTATAATACGAAAATGTTTATGATTATTAACTTTATTGTAATGTAGCATATGGTAGTGGGGAAAGTGATGATCAGATATATGATGAACTTTTTAATTTATTTAATTCTATTATAGTTATAGTAAAATAATGGGGTCCTACACGATGAGAAAAAGATTGGCTTTAGCTTAATGACGAAGGATCAATGTTTGAAAACCATATGCAAAAAAATTAGATTAGAAAGTTACTGGTCTAAACAGTTATGCGCCGAAGTCATTTTGGACACGTAAACATGAAAGGTGAAAAAGCCATGAAATTTGCATCTATGAATATTAAAAAAATTATCGTGGTAAAAGTGGACTAATCAATAATTAGTACGTGGAAAATCATACTCTTATCAGAGCCAAATTGCTATTATTATATATAGTGTTTGTGGCTATAAATATATAGGCACAATATATGAAATTTGGCTTTTGAAGAAAAAGTAAATTGTAGGCATAATATGTAGAATAAAGACAAAATTAATTACAAGTTTCTAATGATAATTTAATTAAACTGTTGAAATAGTTTCTTATATTTTAGTTAGTTCCTACCTATGGCATAGTGTGAAGTGTTGATATCATGGCAACTGAAAATTGTCGTCTTTAGTTTAGTTAAAAGCTTCAATCAAGTGGAACATTACGCATGATTTAAAATCCAGAAAGTGTGCATGCATGTCATGGTTTAGAATGGATCATTTATATTATCATTTTGTTAGATGAAGAATGTTTTTTTATATTTTATTTTAAGCAAAGCTATTACTTAATAGGAATGCAGACAACATAACATATTACTTCATTAATTAGAATAGTGTAGATTCAAATGTCTTTCGTCCCTCTCTATAAATGAACCGTCCTTAAAAAGAAGTTTGATATGAGCCACACCTTTAATTAGTTCAGATATGTTTTGTGTAAAGATTATTCTATTTTGGTTAAATAGGAAGCAATGCCAACTTATATTGTCCAACCTGATTGGAATTTAAAGTTCATTAAAAATGACAAACAAAGGTTTATGGTATATAAAGAAGATGGTATATAAAGAAGACTGTGAGCGGGAAGCCTATTATGCCAAGTTACTAAAGGAGGAATCTTAGAAACTTAAGAAAGTATTTGACATTTACAATTATATTAGAGATTATAATGTCAAGTGAAGAGAACTAAATGGTTGAGTAAAAGGAATCGTAATTCCTTAAAAATAAACCTAAGATAAATATTAAGGATATAAAGGAAAATGCTCAACGAAAATGGAATGTAAGAGTAGATAAGACAAAGAAAATTAGGGCAAGATGTGCCACTAGATACATGGTAGATGATTCATTCCTAGAGCATAACAATAGAATTCATGACTATTGTCATGAAATTATATGAACAAATCATGGGTCAATAGTCAAGTTAAATGTCCAACTCGTACAATAAGAAGTTGCTGTTAGAAGGTCTAATTTCAGAAAATTATACATATGTTAAGTAGCATGTAAGGAGAGTTTCAAGCTTTACAGACATGTGATTGGTTTTGGTGGGTGTTTTTAAAGGCTCTTTATAGAAGATAAATATTAGCAGCGATAGGTAGAGATCCTAATGATTAGATGATGCCAATAGCTTTTGGTGTTGTTCAAAGGGAAACAAAGGATAATTGGGCATAGTTTTTGGAACTTTTGATTCATGATCTCGGAGAATGAATTTGTTCCTACACTTTCATATCTGATAACAAAAGTTAATTACGATGTATTTATGTTGTATTTGTGTTGTACTCACTTTATGGGTGAGCTTCTACCCGGTGTTGAGCAAAGATTTAGTATTCGACACTTGTATTAAAACTTTAGGAAGAAGAATCTTGAAAAGATGTTGAAGGAAACCATTTTAAAGGGAGCAAAGTCAACTTACCCACAAGCTTGGAAAAGAGAAATGAGGGGAATGAGAGTGGTCAATGAAGAGGCTAATAAACATATAATGAAGACTCCAAACAAGTTCTAGAGTAAATCACAGCTTAGGATAAAGACAAAATGTGACTCTCTTCTTAACTTAAGTAAAGAGTGTTTTACCCTACATTAAAAGGAAGCTTGAAAGAACCAACACATACACCAATATGTGAATTGTATGGGTTCATTAATTGTTCCTCATATGTTACTTTTAACACATTTGGTCATATAATCTGATTCAATGTAACTTGTTGTAGGATGTCAACTGAGCACATGTGTTTGAGGTCAGACACATTGAAATTTAGGAGACAAGTTTTCAGTCAACTTGAAGGAATCTGTAAAAGGATGTAGAGGAACACATTTCCCTTTCGATCTTGCCACTAAGGTCTCTCTCTTGGCATGGTTTCTGGAAGAAAAGGATAAAACTCTTGTAGGTGTTCTATCTTCTCTGTCCTAGGAAGAGGTATCTCTGGCTAAGATTGATAAATATTTGTATAATTCCTAAGAGGCCCTTGCTTCTTCCTCAAACAAGATGATGGAGGCGAAAGATTATCTAAAAAAGGAGAATGAAGACCATGTCAAAGAGGTAAAATCTTAAGAAAAGCATTTGGCGGAGTTGCATAAGGAACTTGATGAATCTGTTGACCTCATATCCAACATTATGTAGATGTCCTTCTAAATTTCTTGAGTCAGGTAGAATTATTGTTCCATAGTGTGAAGTTTCCCTGAGATCAAATGGATTTCGAGAAATAAGTTATGGATGGGAAGTTATTAGCTTCCGAGGATTTATTATTACTATTTTAAATGATAATTGTTGTTTGATGCTAGTCCTAAGTATTTGTAATAATATTTTATTATGGATATTTTGTAACTCTATTTAGATGATTATTGCTTCTTTGTGTCTTTGCATTATTTCGATTCGTTTATTGAATGATTTTATTTCATCATATCGTCCTGAACGATTTTATTTCATCATATACTCAAATGATTTTATTTCATCATATAGTCTCGAATGATTTTATTTCATCATACAATCTTGAATGATTTTATTTTATCATTACTTTGGTGTGGTCAGCCTAAACCTAGGTCCGCGTTGGCTGGGCTTATATCTAAACTTTTGATGTCTCTAGGGACCGTGCCCAACCAAGGGTCGGTTTCACTTCTCTTCTCTCAAGTGAAACTTGGTTCGAGGCTGGCGTATCAAGGGCTTTATCGCCTATGCTCTGGAGTGGCTAGCTAGCAAGAGGGGGGATGTGTCGAATGCGGCTCCATTTCTTTTGTTTTTAAGTCTTGGCATATTTACCATATGTATTGTTCTATAATAGAAAGGGAAATCATACAACTCAACCAAGGTTATTACATTATATAATTCAATGACTTTTCATTACTGGGCCTTTTCTTTTATAACTTAAATTTGTACAACCTTAAAGGAGACTTAGTTAAAATACCACTTGACTTTGATAACACTCCATGTCATTTAGATTGGTTCATGGAAAAGTA